GCATTGCTGTTCGCAGTGGGGACATGATTTTCGACCTGATTTCAAATTTTTGAATATTTTAAAGCGTCAGTTTCCGAGTGTTCCGTTGATTGGTTTAACGGCTACAGCTACTGCAGATGTTGTTGATGATGTGAAGAATATCCTGGGAATTCCAGGTCTGCTTTTTTTTGCGTTTTGTGCTGTGTAACAGCAATACAAAACGCATATTGTCACGGGGTTGTCTGTCTGTGTATTTGTGTGTGTGTGTGTGTGTGTGTGTGTGTGTGTGCCGCAGCAACTTGTCCGCAACTTTCAACTCGGGAACCACAAAAGCTAGGAAGCTGAAAATTTAAGGGGTGTCCGCAACTTTCAACTCGAGAACCACAAAAGCTAGGAAGCTGAAAATTTAGGGTAATGTTCCCCACCCACGTGTGACTGTCCGCAACTTTCAACTCGGGAACCACAAAAGCTAGGAAGCTGAAAATTTAGGGTAACGTTCCCCACCGCAACTTTCAACTCGGGAACCACAAAAGCTAGGAAGCTGAAAATTTAGGGGAACGTTCCCCACCTCGCAACTTTCAACTCGGGAACCACAAAAGCTAGGAAGCTGAAAATTTAGGGGAACGTTCCCCACCACATGTGACCCCGCAAATTTAAATTCAGCTTCCCTGTACCCGCGGGTAACACGTACGACCCCGTGAAATTTTTTTACGCGTAAGCTAATATCTCGGGAACCATGGAGTCTAGGAGGCTGAAATTTTAAGGTAATGACCCCCTGCCCACGCTTAACCCTGCCCATTCAAATTCAGCGTTCTCGCGCACTCGGGTACCACCTACGGCCTCGTGAAAATTTTGGCGGGTAAACTATTAACTCGGGAGTCACGGAAAGATATTCACCCTTCAAGATTTCGAATTCAGGTTTCTTGCTCTAGTGCGTGAAATTTTTAACTGTTTTCCAACGTTTGAACTATTTTTGCACAGACTAAAGTACAAAGCAGTGGAAATCATTAATAGGCAATCGTTCGGTGGGCTGAATTGCACAAAACGCATGACCGCACCGGCTAGTCTGGTGCGCGTTGCTATTTATTTTATTTTGGTCTAAATTCCGGACGTGGTGCACCTTCTGTACTTGCTGCAGTAGAGGAAAACACAAAGATCGCTAGTGGGTGAGTTGGCAGCTGCCAAAATTTGGTTCGATCGGCGTTACACACGATCTGCGAGAAATTTTTTCTAGCAGTGGCGAACAGGGGCTCCTCCTTGGCAAGTGGCGAAAGTCCGAATGTGACAGGTGGGAAGAAGAGGCGGCGTGCTGTGGGTTTCATTCGAGGCAAGAAAGGAGGGGGAGGGGGAGGAGGCGGGGGTCAAGATGGATGGATTTAAGGGCTACGTGGCGTAGATCCATTGTCATTTGGCTAATTCACGTGCATTTCGCGGAGGAAAGGGGGTGATGCATTGGAAAGGAGAGGGATTGCCTCGGGCTCCCTCTCTCCAGTTTTTGCCCCGAGCTCCTGTCTTGTATCCTCGTTTCCCTTCTCCACCTTGTCCCCAAATCCTGCCCACAAAGCAATATCTGAGCTCTTCTCCATCCCCAATAGCTGAGAGTACTTTGGAAGCAAGCAGTATTTTAGCCCTTCTGCAACCTCGCGTATCCACGTTAAAAACATCACCTTCCTCCCTTCGAACCTCCCTCCTTCCCTCCTTCCACCACTCCCCGTATATGTGCATGACTTAGTTACACGCTCTTCTACAATAATTGTACCACCGAACATGCCCGCATACGCCGCTTTGTAAACGTCCTGTTCATATAGCTACTTCCTCCTCTCCATACTTTCCTACTTCATATTGCAACTTTATTATTTTTTCCAACTACTCTAAATTTGATATAATTAAAAAATCTCTTTCCTCTCTTTCTCTTCTTTTTCTCTCTTCCTGCTTTCCATTCCTTCCTTTTTCCTCTCATTTCTGAACACCGTGACCATCATACTGACGAGTTTCAGTCGCGGTGTTGAGCTAA